TGAAAGTCACTTGAAGGCATCAGCAGCAGAAGCAGGAACTGCGTCAGAAGATCAAGGCGGTGTCGCCAGATTCGTGGGATATCCAGGGAAGCCCTAGGTTTTTCAGAAGTTGTGTTGTGGTCTTGTAATGCTTGGCAAGGACACTTCTTACTAGAATCTTGTTCAGTTCATTAGTACTGTGACAGAAGGAAGTTTTCGAATTCGGAAAGGCTGATACGCAGGGGTAAACATGCAAAAAAAGGGTCCTGGCAGGTCTCACGGCCGCTCCTCCCTTTTCCCCCTTTCCCGCCCCCCGCAACACCTATGGATTTGCATCTGTGACATGTGTTTGCTGTGTGAATCATGTGCTCATGGAGGGATGCTAGCCACCTACTCCCTCCAGCTAGAAGAAAGGCAAGAAGAAGGGTTTCTTCAGCCAAGCCACGTGCAAGCTCTGCCGGCGCGCTGGGGACTCACTGGCCCCTTAAAGGGGTTTCAGGTGCTGCTCATGTGGGGGTGGAGGGCTTCAGCAAGCACGGAACACCGCAGGAGGCACAGGGTCAAGGGTTGAAGCCAAGCTGACAGGGGGAAACCGTTGCTTTCTCGCAGCATTTAAACGTACGCAGTTGCGACAGCAGCCCGAGTGGCTTTCTCTGAGTTCTCCTTTCGGGACCGTTACCTCAAGCTTCAGCTGCAAACCCCACATGCGCGTGAAGACAAAATTCTGAGTCGTCCAGCTTTCGTGGTCCGTTCTCAAGTTTCTTGTTACTACTTATTGTTTGCCTTTGAGGGCTGCCTCATGAAGCAAGCAACATCATCCGAGGCATGATTCTGCATGTGCGTCTAAGCACACAGCTGTACAAGATCGAGAGAGAGACCCTCAGATGTAAAACTGATGTCGCGAAGGGTTGGATGTGCAGATCCGTGGCCCTTTTCCAGGCGGAGTCGCTTGCTATGGCCAAGCAGGCAGAGGACGTTTCATCTTCCTTTCCTTGCAGTTTGTGGGGAAGCCCAAGTCCACAGTCCAGTTCAATGGTGCATGGCGGCGAGGACGAATCATCAGCTGCACGCCGCTTCACCGAAGCCGCCAGCACCAAGCTGGCAGCAGTAGAGGCCCACTTGCCCTACTTTGGCCTTCTCTAAGATACCTCCTCCTTTACAGTCCTCGGGGTGAACTGAAACAGAGATGCAGCAAGGATGCCTGGCTGCGGAAAGCGGAGCGAGCTGGCGCCCTGAGCGCAGATGCCTTATGCTGCTATGAGATTCTCATGCTTTGCACTTGCTTTAAAGGCTTCCGTGCACTTTGCAGATTTTGGCCCTGAGGCTCAGGTGATGAGGAACAAAGACTTTGAGTCCTGCCTTCGAGCCCTCCAGAAGTCTTTAGCAGCAGCCGCCGCCGCTTGAACTGAATATCTGATCTGACACGGCATGTCGGCATGTCCGCGATGGATTTGTGTGGATTTGTGTGGAGATGTTGTTGGTTGGTTGTTCTCGGTTGGTGGTTGAAGCGGTTGCTGGAAAGTCTCGAAGTTGCTAAAACAGCTCAGAAACCTACCAGACCCATTTAAAACTCTAAACCCTAAGTCCTAAACATTCCTAAACCCTAAACCTATACCTGAGGGGCTCCTCGAGTCGCGCCCAGAAAACGCATGGGAGAACATACGGGCCGTTTCTTTGCGGGCCTTCGAGGGCCTCTTTATGAAGCTGCCTGGTGGCAGCCCACATGAGGTGCAGAAGGGGCCATTTAGGGTTTAGGGTTTAGGGTTTAGGGTTTAGGGTTTAGGGTTGTTTTCATAACCGGAATTTGGCAAGCGCATCCCCCGCCCGGAATCTGATGGGTTCGACTCCCCCAAATGCCGTTGTGAAGGCGGGTGAGAATGGAGTCCACAGGGTTACGCCATGTTACGCTTCTCAATGTCGTATGTTTTTAGCAACTTGGATCTAGGGGATTACTAGAGGGTCACAGGCTCACCTCCCTAATTCCGCTTTTTGCAAGTCGTGCCATGTCGAAACTTCTAGAATAGCTCAGAATAGCATGTAAACACAACAAAATCATGCGCACCATTTGGATTTCCATGTGCATTGTATGAACACCATTCGAATGCCATAGACAAACATAACACGCTTGCATGGAACAGAAGCAGGTGGAGAGAGTGCCGGGGACAAGCCACCATTGGTTTCCGTCTGTGTCACGTTAAAGTCAAGGGCGCCCCCAGCGCGTGGGGGTCTTGATATTCCATCGTGCGTTATCACATGGGGTCATGCCCCGGGTCTCACCTGCCCTCCATGAAACCATGGCGGCAACAACACAGACAAGTCCTGCGTGCTCAACGGAATCCTTGAACAGAATGGGGGGGGGGGGGTGTAACCATTCCGTTTTCGGTTTTGCATGTGTGCATACGTAAAAGGGGGGTCAAAATGGGAGGAGGTCTGCGATTCCATTTGCACCCTTTGGCTTGTGATGACGACACAACACGGCACCTGAGACTGCCCCAAGACTCCGCCACTCCCCGAAAGGTCTTCGCAAGGGTTGTGGCAGCTTGTGGCAGTATTCCACCGAGCCTGGCCATGCCTTGAGGACTCGCTGGATTTGGCAGACTGTGTGAGCCTAAGCTCGTTCGGTTTAGGACAGCGGGCACTCTTCCCCTCCTTTGGAGTCTGTGTCTCCTCTCTCCCTCTGACTCTGTCTCTCCCTCACTCTCTTTATCGGTTCTCTGTCCCACAATCTCTTTCCCTGTTGCTGCTTATGGTGTGCTGATTTAAGATTCGCAGGTCTTGGTTCCACCACCTCCCAGCTGCCAGCACGAGGGCTGCGGACTCAGAGTCACGAGTCACGAGTCGCGGATCCTTCGCGTCAAAGCACACCCCTTTCCAGAGCGCATCTGAGCCAGCAAGGGTGCAAGCGCTGTAGTCACCACAGTGCCACTTGATGTCGCGAACCATCGCGAATTGCGAGGTCACAGTACACTGGGGTCGGCCTGCTGATTGACCAGGCCTGCAGGGATTGACTATAGTTGTGCGCAGTGAAAAGTATTTGAGTACGTGTGCAAGGTGGAAAGCATCTTGAGCAACAGAATGGAGATGCGCACAAGGTTGAGGGCAGAGCTGGAGGATCAGTCGGCCCCCCGCGACCCACTGAGAGAAGAGGCAGCGAGGCACGAACTCCGCAGCCAGGTCAAGGCAGCAGCTGCGCGACTGCATCGACAAGTCTGGCGCCTGCTGCACTTTTTTCACCACAGCTATGCACCTATAGCAACTCAGTAGTAAATGACACCGAGGTTTGTGCAAAGAGAAGGTGTAGACCGAGGTGACCGAGCCAGTGAGGACCGTGACTGCATACCTTGTTGCAATCTTTCTCTGGAAACTGATTGCCCCTCGCTGGCACGCAGTACTCTAATTGAGTCTGATTCTGTTGGCCCAAGATGCGACTGACAGGAGATGCCTGAAACCCAACAGGCACCGAAATCAAGCGACACGACTTGCACACTGTTGTTGAGCCTGGCTCTTGACAGGCTGCATCCATCACGGGGCTCTTGCGCATGCGGCAGCATCGGCATGTGTCTGATGCCTGGGCCTTTTCCCGATGGGCTGGGGAGCGGGGGGGCAGGGCGAGGATAACCCAGAATAACAAGCCCGTTTCTATGGCTCGACTTCCTCCGTCCTCCCTCCCTACCGTCCCTCAAAGCAGCCAAGACGTTGATACGAATCATGTGTGAGAGCATGCGGAGTTTATGCTGGATGCCTGGATTAATTTGTTTCAGGCTATGCGTCGGCAGTTTCAAGACTATCTGCTTGTTTTGCGTCTGGGGCCTGGGCATACAACAGACCTTTGCCAAGCACATGACAGCTCTGTGAAAAGACTGAAACCCAATCAAAGCATCAACAAACGATGCGCGCTTGACGAGGCCTTTGTTCCTTGGGAGCCCAGTGGCTTTCGCCCTCAGGCACAAAGTCCGAACGTTGCACCCGGCCATTTTGCCATTTTGCACCGTTACTGTCAAGGTTCCACCCAAGACAGCATGGAAGACCTGCCGCCTTTGCCGCCAGAGTCATGCCCACAGGGTCACCCAGGCCGTTCATAGCGAGGTGAAGCGTATCGGAGCAGCTGAGGCTGGCGACGCACCACGCAGAAGGCATTCCCAATCGGTTGTTTAGTGAGGCTTGCTGTGCAAGAAGCGGATCCACTCTGGGCCGTCTTAACGACTCATAGATCTACTTGCTGAAAGCATGGGGCTTCTAAACCTAGATGCAGTCTCATTACACGAAACGCTTCAGAACGCAAAAGAGACTCTGCAACGAAGGCCCTTCCAGTCAGCCCAGCATGGAAGGCAAGACCCAGGCAGAACCTCTACACAGGGACATGCTCTAATGTTCGGTAGGCGGCAGATGCTGTTTTCTTGCTCTACAGTAGCATGCTCTAACGCCAATCTAGTCCTGGTGAACAGCGAAGGAGGGCGATCGGCCCGAGGTCGATGATTCTGCGATTGAAGGCAACTTCTTGTGCCCCAGCCTGTGATGACAAGTGGTCTGACAGCGCGCATTCATTTTGCACCCATTTCTCCAAATGCTGAAGCTGGTCATGGAAGGTACAGAACTTTGTGCCGGAATCTTCTTGAGCGAGCGCTCGGGGCCCGATAATGGACACGTGACATGACACCGCAGAGGCAGTCGAAGCGGTGTGCCGATTCACGACGGGGGGGCCTGGGGGCAGGCTTAAGCTCCTGAGTGAGATGCAAAGAGACGAGCTGCTCGCCCTAAAGCGGGCGCCAGGTCCCCAGAGAACGTGCACATCACCACACGATCGCTGCAAGTGCTAGGGGTCTGCAAGATCTGTCACCGTGGGCAGTAGGTGATCAGGTGATGGGGCACGTTTTCTTACTTGAGTCTGTTTCTCTGTTACAGGGAAAGGCCTTGAGCCCTTGAGGTACGCAGCCGAGCAGCGCCTCGTGCTACAGTGGCGCCGCCAAAAATTTGCAGCCCTGTGCGCTTGTATCAGAATGTAGGAGAGAGTGCACAACAAGATGCCACAATATGCCAGGTCTCTTTGCCAGTTGGAGACTGAGATGGTGGAGAAGGCGAAGCCACTGCTGAGTACAGAGATCAGCCGCTCAGCAGAGACCTGCCATGTCAAAAGTCCATATGTGCAGGCAGTGCAACAAGATCTACAGGAATACGAGGTTCAGCTAGCTTGTCGCTTGCTTTCAGACTCACAGTCTGAAGCCCAGCCAGGCAGTAAGATTTGCATGCCCGTGACCTCTTCAATCGGGACCCACCCGAGGCGTCAGATTTCCGAGGAGCATCAGCGACAAGCCAGTCGAGAGACCCTCTCAGCAGTGCTGCACGATGTTAGACGTGTTCCATGGGCTCTATTGTTCGGTGCATGCTTGCGAATTCTTCTTGCTGAAGGTTAACGAGGACGTGGCTGCACAGCTTGCCAAGTACAAACAGCAGATTGCTGAGGAGGACCAGGCGCAAACATATGCAAGGCAACCCCTTTGATTCAGCTCATTCTGTTGCAGAAGTTGGGGTCGGATCAGATTGATCAACATTCAGTCATAAGGCCCTGGATTGAAACAGACTAACCCAGGTGAAATGATAGTAATTCCCACCCCTCCCCCCCCACCCCAGCCCCGAAAGAGGAGAAGATAGCAGAACGCTGGCTATCCAGAAGCTTAAAGTTTAGGGAAAGGCCGTGGCAGGGTCATCACCAGCGAGATCTAATGTTCAGGCTGGATATTGGGGTAATAGTCAGCCTGAAAATTTCGAGCCGAACCTCCTCAACCCAGAGCCAAGATTGCCTGGAGAAAGGGGAGGCCTCTTGGTTCCCGAGGTCCAAAATGTTCAGGCCCAATATTGCCCACATTCAGCCTGACCCCAGGAAACCAAGATTGTTCTCCCAAACTACCTCCGGGGCATCTTGGCTTGTGGCTCTCGACTCCTGATGTGGTCAGTATTCAGGCTGAAGATCGGCAATGTTCTGCTTGAATATTTCAGGGCCTGGGGGGTGCCAAGAGCACTCTGATATACTCTCTCCGGTGCATCTTGTTCTGGGACAGTACAGCATGTTTCCTCATTCCTGTCCTGTCCAAAGACATGATCTTCAGAGACCTCTGGGTACGAACTGGCCTGGAGGCTCCCGAAGTTTTTGTTGGACAGTACATCACTTTTGCCCATTCTCAAAAACATGGCTGGTACTTGCTAGTGCTTCACTGAAACCTGGCCATCGAAACAGAGATGGCAAGGGCAGGGATATTGCATCACGCAGAGTGCGTGGTCGAGTTTACCGACATGATTCGGCAACAGACAAGCATGTCGATCTTTGCTGGGCTTGGCCAGGCAGTCGTACGGGACCGTCAAAAGTGGGTGATGAACAGGACATCGGGCGATGATTTTTTTTTGGCGCACCGAGCGGCCATCGGTCCATCCCCTTTTCTGAGGCAGTTGCCATGTGCTTCGACAGTTGCATATAAATGTGTCGATCTCTGCCGCTGTTACAAGCAGCGCACAGATGTACTGCCATTCTGCTGGCATTTGCAGCGATGTGTTATGATGCATTGCTGTTTTTGTTTGCCTGCGCTGCTGGTGCAATTGGATGGTGCCTGCATTGCGAGAGATCGGTCTTCCACTGCAGGATCGTGGTTATCCAAGCCAATGGGACTGTCAATCCGAACGACAGGCCTCGCAAAGTCACACGGACATGAAGTTTTAAGATGTCGGCCTCGGTTGCCTGAAGCCTTGTTCGGTGCAGGGCCCTCCTGTCACGGCTACGTGCCGAGCCTGCCTCTTACATCCCTTGAACCTGTTGATGTTTGGCCCGCATTGTCGTTTGACATCTTTGGTGTTCTTGAGGCTTCATGCGTGCGATGCCAAAATTGATGCTTTCAATGCGCGGAGCTGACCTGCTACAGCATCTGCCGATACTAGCTATAGTCTGCCATAGCATCTATAGCCAGTGCAGCGAGACGCATCAGTCATCCTTCAACAGCTCCTGTTGAGGCACTGGAGAGCATGACGTCCGCCACAGATCTGGAAGGTCAACCTTTAGGGCGGCCAGCCTCGACTGGACAAAGACGGCGTTCCTCTGATGAGCTCACAGCTGCTGAAGCTCCAGGAAAGCCTGGCACGGGCTTGCAGGGCCTAGAGGAACCTCGGCCAGTTGCGATCCCTGCTTTGGGAAGCATCTGCCCAAACCGTGCAGCGATGTGCTTCGGCCACCGCTGCGAGTCCCCCGACTTTGGCGTGAAAGCGCCATCCCATCCGATGGATTGGTCCTTCGCTGCACCACCTCCACGGCGCAGCAACTTCGGAACGCGGCTCAAGACAGACTACCTGGCACCGAAGGGCGCCTACAATATGCAGGATGTTCCGGTTCCGGTGCAGAAGCAGGCAGGGCAGCCGAATCATGCGAGTGCTCAGGTCGTAAAACTTGACACTTCATGTAGCCCCAGCGTCCCTGATGAGGCTGTGGACACAGGTCCGGCAGGACGACACCTCAGCCTATATCTCACTAACGTGCGAGCAGGTCCGTCTGATCTCGAAATATACATATATACAGACATGCATACCTACATCCCTCTCTCAAGGTTCGCCACCGAGGCCGCCCATGAAGATGTACAAGTCTGAGATGAATCCTAGCAGGCACTAGTACTGTTGCAGCTTAGACCGGCTCAGGTCCCCTTCCACTCGAAGCCGCGGCACCCGTTTGCCTCCGGTTCCTCTGACCGCGCGATGAGGCGACTGGCTCAACTGAGGTTTGTCTCGGTTTGGGGTTGAGGACCTTTAGGATTTAGGGTTTTTAGGGTTTAGGGTTTCATGATGTCTCTGAGCTCCTCACGTTGCTCATCATACCCCAGGCAGCCGTGGCGGTGATGTGGCTGCGCAGGGTGGGAGCAGCATGCAGTAGCGACACAACTTTTCACGGTCAGCGAAGGTTGTCTGAACCACAGACAATCCGAGCTCTCTTTTACTTTGCATGTGCGGATCCAAACAGGAGTTGGTGTTGTGCGTTTGTGAATTGATACTCATATTGTTACTTGTTGTTTGTCGTCTAATTGTCACGATTGATGGTTTTGATGTTGCTGTATACTTCTATCGTAGTGTTAGTGTTGCCGTCGTCGTTGTCGTCGTTGTTACTATTGCTGTTGCTGTTGTCGCTGTTGTTTTGTTGCTTAGTTGTTGGTGGCTGTGGTGGCCTTGGTTTTGGTGGATGTGGTGGTGTTGAAGGGGTTCGTTTTGAGTCTGTCGCGGTGGTGGTGTTATGATTGTTGTTGTGAAGATTCTGGTCGAGCTTGGATGTTTTGCGACATGCGTTGCACGTTCACTGTCGCTGTTGCATGGTGTTGGTCAACAAACGCAGACTGTCCGCAGACTTTCCTTCATGGATGCCCGCAAGGTTTCAGTTCATTACGGCGTGCATGCGCATGGTGAAAATAGCGAAATCTGCGCTGAGGCTGTCATGTGTACTGGCAGCCCCACAGCTGGTGACATCTTTTCGCAAGCACTACCGGTAGGAAGCTAAAACGCTGGAAAAAAAAATCAAGTTTCAATAAAGGGCATGTAATTTGTGGTTTAGTTGCCTATAGATACCAGTCTCACCCCTTTTGTCGGAAGCATGGGGTCATGTTGTGGGGCAAAGAGGTGCCTCTGCACCGGCATGGCGAACTTGTGTTTTTACCTTCTCATGCTCCACGTAAGGAGCTGCAAGACCTTCGCGCCTTGGCGGGGCGAACAATCGTCCCTAGCTTGGATTCCTTGTTGAGTTCTGGAAGCAGGCCAATGACAGGCTGCAGCGTGTGCCCGAGGTCGCCTATGTCCGACTTGCCTCCACAGTTATCGTTGCTGTGGTTATGAGACTTTGTGGGTGCCCCGGTGTTGCAGATCCCGATGCGGCTCTCAAGTAAAACCGTCTGTCGCACGCGCGCCGTAGCACCTAACTTAGTGATAGTGTAGCCCTGCAGCACGACGTCCACACCTTATATGGCTTGCTCCGAGATTCATGCGCAGAGGTAGAATAGTAAAAGTTCATGTCAGCTGGCGAAATCTCGCCGCCATGCCGCAAAGATGCAGCAGCTCAGGTCTCGACTGTGCCGGGCTCATAATTACGGGACAGGATGCGGCACAGGCCGGCTTCTGGTCGGCCGCCCAGCTGGAGGATACTCCCCTAAACCCTAAACCAGTAGACATCCCTGTCATTACCACATGCTGCTTCGGGGGCCAAGGTTTGCACATTGTCACAAGGACGGTGCATGCGCAACATGCCCAGATATGCTCAGCTTACCGATCTGCTCGCTAGCTCCACATAAAACAAGTTCATGTTGCAGAGCGAGTCTCAGCTGAGGTTTTAACTGGCATTCTGCTTTTCTTCGTGTCGTTGGCTGCTTGCTCGCTTTTCGGCTGGGCTTGTTGGATCCTTAGCCCGAGCTGCGGAAGTGGTGCTTTTTGTGTGTTTCTTCTGCTCGCAAGGTCTGAACAGTAGAATATTCATAATATTCAGCACAAACCTTCGATTCAACAGTGCCTCTGTTCGCCAACGACTCGATACGCCTGCTTCAGCCTGTCGTGGTACTGGTACCATAGCTGTAACCGCTGGCGCGCCGCCTCGGCACTCGGTCCGAAGCCAAGGGACATGCACGCTGGCGGTCCAAGCTGTCCAGTTGCACGGTCGGCTGCGTGGAAAACGAGCGCGGGTCGAGGAAAAACGCAGCCGATCCGGAAAACCGAGCCCGAAACCCTGTGCGGTTGGGGGACGCACAGGCCTGCTGGAGCAAGGCTTGCTTTGTCAGCATGCGACGCGAAACCTTCGGTGCACTGTTTTTCAGTGTTCCTGTGCTTGTTGCCAAGTGAAGCTTTGGTAGGGATGTGCGAGTTTCACGAAGTCAAAACTCGCCCCTCCATGTGGTATCGCCAGCTCCCATTATCGAAGGGGGTCTGTGATGAGAAGCCGCATCCTGGGCTTGCTCCGGAAACCGAGGCTCAGAAAGACTGGCCGAATTCACTGACAGAAGAACTGTCACACACACACGCACACACGATCTCACCAAGATGGCCAAGGATCGATAAAGGACGTTGGAGCTGGCGACTTGTGAGCTCTGTCGACTTCTTAGGAAAAGGAGGGCTCTCTCGTAAGTACATGGTTGGGGGCGCGTTCCCGCGCGTGGTACGGAAGGCATGTACACAAGTCAGGACATGAAAAAACATCGGCAGGGGTGGGTTTTAAGCACTTTGGGAAAACTATGTCTATTTTGGGGGCATACGTGTGGGATTGAAGCCCGGGCCATGGGTTTTATGTTGAGCTGTAGCTGTAAATACCAGTGTTTTGGGCATAACACGCTGTTTTGGGTATGGTCGCGAAAGGCATGGATGCTTGTGACGGATTTTCTTGTTCCACATCCTTGTGCAGTATGTTGTACAAAGAGGCGAAAACGCTGTAAATACCACTGTTTTGGGCATGGACGCAACATGAATGACGTTCTTATCCCCTCCCCCCACCCCCCCGCCCCCCCCCCAACCCCCCGCAGAAAGTCCGGAAAACCTGAAAATGTGCTCGAGAGTACACGCGCGGGAACGCGCCCCCAGTCCAACTAGATGACCAGACCTCTCACGTTCAAAACACCGCAATCACCACATATATACTTATGCACGAGAAGTGTAAAGTTATGCTCATGGGCATTCAATGTCGTACCTAGAACCAGCAAGAAGGTTCAGATCTTGCAATGGAACCTGTTATGTGGCGAAAAGCTCGGAATGACTTATAGCCAGGCCGAGACACCAGAAACTTTGAACACGATCGTGGTTTACACCAGCTCTTAAACGCGAATGGGGCATCACCAACGATGCAGCGGACGCGAATTAAAACACACCGCTAGCAGCTAGCAAACAGGGTGTCTCGCTCCCACAGCTATACCTCACCGTTAAAGCTATAAACGCCAAACTCGGGTAGAATTGCCACGGACACACCTTTTCATAGAACGTCCGGGAACAGGTTAGCTGAACCCATCCGTTTCTATTGGTGGATGGCAGGGAAACGTCAACTGGTATCTGGCGCCAACTGTTTTGCTACGTTGTTGATGATGTCTCAGACATGCTTCTCTCTTTGAAGTTGTCAAATGTGAAGCCATTCGGGCCAGTTCTCAACGGACGAATAGCTTGATGCTCATGGCTAAAGACAGAGCATGTGGGCGGTCTTCGCGCGGCGGGCTCAGGCCAAGACTGGATTGCGGATCCCAAGAAGAATCCACTGGCAAGGACTGCGGAAATCGGCAGAACCCATCAGAGCACGTCAGAGTTTCTTTCGACAGCGACCAGGAAGTTTTCCTTCAACATCGTCATCGAAGCAGCTGCATGGATTCCAATCTCCGTCTCTGTGGGGAAGCGGTGACCTCAGAGAGCACCGAGATGGTCCAGCTGCTTGCATGTGCTGCAAGCGTATTCAACCTGGTCCAGGACCAACGCGCTCGTTGAGTGGTGCCTCACCTAAGAGAACGCAACTTCGTTCAACTCCCAAACCGGGCCTCCAGACTGGTTTCCTTCCCGAGGTTCATGGGCATCGCACAAGACAACCTTCTGCAGGTGACACCATGTGTGGCATCTGGAGAAGTGTCTTATGTCCAATTGATTTGAAGACCACTTGGCAAGGCCCTGCTGTCTTCCTGCATTGCAGCTCTGTTGGTACCTTACGCGTAATGCACCGTCCCTCGTTGGCATGTGTTTTTTGCATCCAGCTACTGCCCCGGCAGTGAGCAATGCCGAGCATGAGCACCTGCCATCAACATCCAGCACATGACGCATACCAGTTCACGGCAGACTGCCGTAAATCTGCAGCGTAATCTGCTGAGGCTCACGCTCAGCTGCGCGCTGATGACACACCTGGTACGCCTCTGAAATTCTTTGAGTTGATTCGGACTAACTTTTGGATGCGTACACGTCTATTGCTCTAGTAGTGTCGGAAAACCTTGCCTTGTTTCGCACCTACATCCAAAAGCATGATGATGTTGGAACGTAGCAACACGAATTTCTGCCTGACTCCCGTTCCGAGGCCATGAAGTACTGCCGGGGAGTTGCAAACAGGAAGGGCCAAGGCTGGCAATCATAGCAGAATCAGAAGCAAAAAGCAACTGCAGCAGCGCCGTGAGAAGCCAGTTAGTTGCCAAGCTATGCCAAGCGAAAGCAGCGCAGGTTTACGGGGATTCCTTCGATTTTTTCTTCTGGCAACAATCACCTGCTTGGGGTGGGCATGGCACCCAGCCCTGTTGCCGGTCAGCTGCGGTCATCTGCAGAAGGCATCATTTTGAAGAAGCTTTCTGAAAGTTGAGGCTGTTGCCTGGAGTAATTGGGCGCTAGTGCTTTCAGTTGTGGATGCGTACGCATCTCAGCTTCATGGCCATGCAGTTGTTTTTCCAAAGCTGTTGTGTGCCAGGCTTGAGCCAAGCCGTTCCGATCAGCTTGTTGTCGCAGCTGTTATCGCTGTCTGGTTAGTGGAGGACTGAGAGGACCGATGCCTGTCGACGACCTACGACCTACGAGCTTGAATGTACTGAGGTTCTCAGTGTGTGCTTCTATCTGCGGTGCGTTCCTCAGCGTTTGCAATGCGTGATGAGTTTTTTTGCCACCCAGCCTGGCATCTCAGGTTTGGTCCTGAGCCGTGCCGGCCTCTGAAAGCGCTGTTGGGGTGCAGTGAGCTCGTCCGGGTCATCAAAGTAGCGAGAGGAGAGAGACCGCGAGCGAAATCTGCTCTCCCACAAGTTTCCGAAGAGGTTTGAGCTGTGCGACAGCACAGACCCATGAGAGGGTTGTTCTTTTTGGCGGGTTCTTGTGAGCATTTGTGAGATACTTAGGGGGTCGATTAGGGAAAATGTCGGTCGTGATAAAACGTGCGCACCTCTCGAGTGCGCGCAAGCTCGCGCAAGGGCGAACGCAAGCTCTGCGCAAGCTATCTCTTGGCGATGTTTATTCAAAACTTCAAGTTGACCCTCCACATCTACTAGTACTTGCGAAAACCTCGCGCGCGCAAGCTCGCGCAAGGTTGGCACAAGGGCGAAGCGCAAGGGATCCTAATTGGCAGCCATGGAACAAGGAACAACCCTTGTGGCTTTGCCCCGTGGAAAGCGATTCGTGTGCGCTGCACATGAAACAACTGGGAGCAGTCCGAGAACTCGAGCCCCGATGAATCTTCGCTATACCTGCATCCTACTGCATCCCTCTGAGTACCCAGTAGTTCGCCGCCGATCTTCATCGTCTTGTGAGTGCGCAGGTATGTGTAGACTCAGTGTAGATGATTTCCGACAGTCACGATGCGCATTGCCTGCAATAGACACCCAAACAACGCACTCCGCGTCCAATTATGGCAGCGTGCTCTGCTGGCCTTTGAGTTCAGCCTGTTGTGGTGATATGTGGCGAGGAAGGGGGCCCGTGCCGACGGATCCCCATCTCGCCGAGCAACGAGGGCAAAAAGCATGCGCAGAGAAAAAGGATGAGAAAACAACGGGCGGAGACGCTCACAGCACCTCAACTATGCTTCCTGGGCGCGAGGACTTAGAAAAAGGACGTCGCAGCCAACTTGAAGCGCAGTGCAGACTGTTAGTGTGGTACATGTGCGAACTTCTCCTTATCAGTTTCCCAGGGACCACGAGAATAGGGCGCGCACCCAGGCTGAGCAAGAGGGGGGAGGAACTGGATTAACGCCTGTCGGTAGAAGAAGAAGAAGGCTGAGAGCAAGCAGAAAATCAGAAGCCTTCTCCGGTACCCCATACAGTTTGCTATTAGGTAGTGTAGCAGTGGATCGCTCAGGATTATTCCCGACCCGCAGCTCCAACAGCTTTGCTACAGTCACGGTGGGGTTGCTCAGAGTGACAAGCATTATCCGCCTTGTTGAGGATTACTTTTTTTAAGCAAGCCAGCGGCCAAGCTTTTTCTAGTAGGACAGGTAGAGATAGGTGGAAAGGGTACGATTACATGCAAGTAAGCTTCTGGCGAAATGTCCCCGATGCTTGGACACCATTTCTTCAGGCTATAGCAGCTCCGTCCAGCGATCGTTCGTGTCCTACATTGCCGCAGCCTCGTGGAATCTTGAGAAGGACTTTGCATGGTTCAGCTGAAAAACACAATGTAACACAAGCTGAGTACGGGACGTCGTAGGCTTCCCGAGGCACGAGACACGACACAGTCTTGGTTGATCTCAGCTGCGAAGGTCAGAATTTTCAGAACCCCTCCCTTGCTTCCTATTTTCCGAAAGCCTGTAATGTTATTACGTAACAACATGATTAATAAGTTAATAAGCATTCTTACTATAATACTATTCAAAATAGTTTTAATAATATGATGCTTAGTATTATGCTTAATCTTGCTAATAATATTATGCTTGTTGAGGCCTTAGGGTGCGCAGAAAACTGGCGCCCAGGTGTACTCCTGCGTTGTTTGTCTTGTGATGGCATGCCTGCTCCTCAAGATTCCATGGCTGCGCAGCCCGAGCACGGACACCTCAGTGGCATGTGGAAGTTGTAGCTTTCCGTCCCCGTCATGAGTGCTATGAGTGCTACGAGTGCTACGAGTGCTCAGCTGAAGATGATGATTCTGTTACCTGTTCGCGCAGAGGCTGCGACCCGACCTATGGTCTGCTGATCGTGCTGGCAAGCCATGTCCGGTGCCCGGAAGCTCAAGTAGTCGCGACATGTGCCTTCGATTTGCCCGCCAAAGCTCTTCGGTCGATCTCTCGAGCCTTTCAGGGTTTAGGGTTTAGGGTTTAGGGGTGCATTCCAGGACGTCCACCCAGCCCACCCCCTGTCTCGAACAATCTTGCCGCCTCCAGCCCATCCCACGAAGCGTCCCCCGCAGTGAGCGTATGTTCCAGCATCGCACAGATCCGCCACTGAGTCCCCTGCGTCCCTGAACGCTCTGCCATGCTCTGCCTGCATCCTTCATGTCTAAGCAGGAAGACGCCCATGCCAAGGTAAGTATTCCTTTTTCAAGTTGCTGCCCTTCAACGGCTGTCTTCTCTGCCAGGTTTATTCCTCGACGTCCTCGATGTTCGATGCACAGGCCGGGCTTTGGATGCCGCAAAGCCTGCATGTCTAACCTCACTCCACACCAAATGCGGGTGTCTGTTTTTGCGCGCATAGCCTTACAACATGTCACCCCTAAACCCTAAACCGCACGTGCGCACATCTTGTGCCAGTGGAAGATTGGCTGCTTGCGCGCTGTGCCTTATGTTCAATCTTACCAACTGGCCTGTCGGGTACATCGTAAAGCAATCACAGGGACTTTCAAGAGGCACTGGCTGTAGGAGCCATTAATCACGCCGAGCTGGCTTGCAGACTCTGTAGACACTGCTGGCCTACTGACACGGTGACACACAGTGACACGGTGCCCCACTTGACCCTTGGCCCCAGCGATAGCACATTTTTTATAGCCCTCCTGTTCGAGGCGTGGCTGGTGCTGTGCAGTCTCGCCCTGAGTCACAGCTCTGCACGCGAAGCCACTGCTGTCCATGCGTTCGAGGAAGGGAAGTGGCTTCTGCCATGCACAGCTCGACGTTGAGAGGAGTAAACCATCACAATAGTCCTGTTGGGAGAAGCGAAGTTGCTGAAGGCCTTGCCGACGCCACGCCACGCAAAGAACTCCCGTAACTCCACCTACCGTACAGATGCCAGCACCCGACAGGAAATGTCCCATAGGAGAGGATGCAAAAACGCAGAGGGTTTACTACAAGAGAAATCCCCAGCTGTCTGGAGCCAGTTTACATTGGAAAGCTTCAGCTAGCTCGCGCACATATGCATAACCTCACTTGTGCGTGTTACCCAGTGGCACAGGCAGCACCCGCATCTGCCGTGCAGTAACTGAAGCCCCAAAGCCGTCCCAAGCACGAAGCTAAGAGAAAGCCAGCCAAAAGGTCTCGCCATTGTGGTGACACTTTTAGGTGCATTGCCAGGAGCTTAAACCTCCAAGGCACTGTTGCTGTGCATGTCGTGGCCGTGTCCTGCTGCGCTACCTCGGCTAGACATCCTTTGCACGACGTTTGCTTGTCAAGGAGTTTAGCAAGCATGCTGCAGCATGCCATGTTGACACGGTGTCGTTTGGTAGCTGTATAATATACCTCCACTCCTCACTGCAGCATAGACGTGAGCTTCGTATCGTAAACAGAGAAATACGGACGGCTTAAAGTACCGAGGTGCTCAGCAGCAATCACCTGGATCTTCAAGGCCTCCTTGAACTCACACGGAAGCTGCTCCTTGCATTCTGTTGTGCAATTGTGGGCTACAAATTCGAGAGCCTCCGGCTCCGGCCGCCGACCCCAGGGGAGTAGGGGGAGGGGGGGCCGGTGAGGGCTCATCCCGCATGAAGCAATGAGAGCTTAGGTTTTAGGGTTGAGGTTTTGAGCTTCTGTGCGGCTGAGGGTCTGGGCTTCAAGGTTCTTACTGTGAGTTGTCCAAAACCCATGAGGCAGGTGCCATGCCTTGAAGTGTTGCGATAGCCTGGGCGGTCATCACCAAACATGCCACGGAATGCCTCAGGTCGATGAGTTTTCCTCCATGCGTCTGTCCCGATCAGTCAACGATGCCTGCAGCAAAATGGTGACGCGCAGGCAGCTCTGAGATTTTCATGTGCTTTGTGCTCCGTTGATGCTGCCTGCTTTCTTGCCACAGGCGTGTTGAATTTGGGGAGATGCTCTCCCGAGTCCAGAAGGCCACGTTGGTGTTTTCGAGACGGGCTCCTTCCGTTCCCCTGGCCCCTGAGGCTGGCAGCGATGCTTGCTTGGTCGAGGTCTGGCCTTGGGTTGCATTGCTTGCGGCAACTTGCCGTAGTCTCTCCGACCTTCCCCAGCCATGAGGAGTCTGAACTAAGCAACCTGGAAGACATCCCGCTGGATGAGGCTCCTACGAACAGCAAAAAGAGCCCCGAAACTGTGTGTAAGGCGGTTTTGTTTGCTGCACCATGCTGCACCTTGCTGCTGCACAGCAAAAACTGGCCGACCAGGATGGCGAGGAGGAGGACTTCAAGGGATCCATTGTCAGCCCTGCCAGCTTCGCTGTCTTTTTACTTGGAATCCAGTGCTTAAGGCTTAAGAGCCCACAAGAGCACTCCATAGCACTCCTTCACCTCCTTTCTGCGTGAGGCAACACCCCGCTGCAAGTACGCCTCCATGCCCTCGGACGAGGCGCTGTTGGGCGAGCTGTTGGGATCCCGTTAAATGTTCTTACACAGACCCGGACAATGCCGGCTTTCACCCTCCCCCCCTGCCCCAAATAGTACATAGTCATTGGACAGGGCTGTCTACGAGTCTACCATATGAATCAGCAGTTCAAAGTGAGAATTCCTTTCACGCTCTTCGTTCTCTCTTTTGTCTTCTGGCTCGTTTCATTCACATAGAACCCTCGTCAACACCGGCATAAGAGAAGCCCCTGTATGGAATATTCGTTCATTTTGAAGCTGCATGATTTAAACGGACGCAGCAAAATACCCCAGTACAACAATGTTACAAGCCCAGATAATACTGGCTTTGTTTGTTACAATATCCCACTATATCCCACTAACGTACGGGGGTCCCCACAAAAGGAGTGTCCATCATCAAGGTGAATGCGAACAGTACGCACCTTCAAACCTATGCATGTGTTTCAAGTGATATGGTTCGTGTCTTGCGTTGCGCCTCGCGGCTTTTTTTGGCGTTGTGAGGAGGCCGTACTGGAGGTGGAATCAGAGCGACAGCAGCCGCCCGAGCCGCATGAGCTGCTGAAACTTCATCTGTGAAGGCCAAAGGATGTAATTAGAACGTGACGTTTGCGATTCCCAGTGCCTGTTCTTGAAAGATGATTCAAGGCTGCAGCTGAACCCAGGGGCCATCTCCAGTGCCATCTGCGTGTGGGGCACATAGGACAACGGGTTCGTTTCGCTTTTTCACAAGTCGTCGGCGCTGCGAACATGACCCAGTCCAGCAGTGCTAGTCGAACACGAGGTCCGTGCTCATCTATGATGTTCTTGGGTTTGTGGTGTGCTTCCAGTGGGGCCTGGGCCGTACTCTGTCAAGCTTCAAGACATTGACATGCTCTTCTGATGTCCGTGACGCAATGCCTAAGGCATGCTGGTTGTGCGGGGCTATTCGGTCGCGTTTGGCAGCCTGGCCATGAGGCTCCAGAGAGCGGATCGCGGACGTTCACAGAACGATGTGGACTTGAGTTGTGAATTGTATTTTGTGCGTAAGTTCGGGTGCTAGCAAGTGTCTGCATCTCTGTGTCTGTGTGTTTGTGCTTTGTGTCTTGTGCTTGTGGGTGTGCCTGTCTGCGCGATCGTTTGGTTGGCTGGGTTGCGTTGCGTTGTGGTGCAACCGTGTTGTGCTGTGTTGCCTTTCAGTGCTCATCAATATGTTTGGGGCGTGACCGTGTTCAATAGGGACAGCTTCTATTACGGGCCTCTCTGTCCCTTTTGGACGTCAATGTAAAGTCATCCTTTGCGTGTTTTGCTTTAATTAATCTGTCTCCTTCTTGTCTGTCGGCATGGCCTCTGTCTGTTTGTGTCTGAGTCAGGGTGACTCTCTGCAGTGTTTATGCTGTGTGTGTGTGTGCTTGCTCATGGCCGCTTTTGTCTGTCTCTGTTCCTGTGTCTCCCTCTCTTTCTGTGGTGTGGTTGTGTGTTTGTGTGTGTTTTTCGGGCGGGGGGGGGGGGGGGTGTGCAGGTGGAACCTTTGTTCCTACAAGTATGTAAGAGTTTCGATCATAATCAGAAACGTTGAAGGGGGGCTGGTGAAACGAGTTGGGAGCACCCCTCTGGTACTTGACTGTGTATGAGGTTTAGGAAACTGAGCAAGATCCCTCTTTTGAATTATATCTGAATACATCCTGCATGTCCCTAGTCGTGCAAGCTGGCTGCAATGCTCAGACAACAAGAGAAGAATGCAACACAAATGGAACAACGGCCCGCTTCTGTGTTTGGATGTTTGTGTGTTGTTTGGCTTGTGGCTTGCTTGTGTTAAGTGTCACACAGTAGAATAGGTTCATTTTTTAACACGTGATAGGCACTGCAGGTACATGTCTCCTAATTTCCTAAGTTTGGAGTGCCCGCCCGCAATGGCACAGGCATTGGGCTCTCTACGCCGCATCATGCGTGGTTTATGCGTCGGTGGTGCTTGCCAGCTTCCGGCTGCTGAGTGAGTCTTCGAAATCGGAGGCCTATGGCCCTCCTGTGTGTTTTGGCCAGGCTGTCACTGTCGCCACCACACGCCTGCAGCTAAGCATGTGGCATAGTCGTGATCATAGTTCAGCTCCTGCACTGACGGCATGTGCTGGGGTAAGCCAGGTCTGGTGATGATCTTCTTCGCTTCCCCCGAAGAGCATGCGTGCAAGGAGGCTTATGGTGAAGTCCAGGCGCTCGAAAGTCGAGAGCTTTCAGCCTGTCTAGATGTATGACACAGGAGATGATAGCATGAGCTGCATCAGGATGACCGCGGAAACCAAGGCTGCAGGCGATTTCCAGAGCAGAACAGTTGAACCTGTCGTGCACATGGATGTTTCTCCTGTTGGTGCGCGCCATGGATCTGCAACTCTAAATTGTGTCGACAGGCTGTTCCGAAAGCTGGGGTTGCACCGCTGGTGGGCTTCGATCGATCGAGAAGTGTCCTGTCAGGCTGGGGGATTCAGTTGGTTAAAGCCGTTAAAGCTGTAGTGACGCGTTTTTGGCTCTTTGCAGGAGCTATGTCAGACGCTCACAGAGTCTGTTGACCAAGATGATGTGAGATGATGCGAGAGTGTGTGCCATCAAGCACAGCCCGCACAGCAGTGTTCTTCAGCCTTGACATGGCAGCGCTCAACGATGCCTTCAAGTTAGAGATCACACGAGAACACTCCCAAGGCCACGGCCCCCGATCACCGAAGGCTACTGTACACTCAAACAAGTTCCTGCAGGGTACCGGTGCAATCTGCATCCTCTTGCAGTAGCCATAGCCATGTTAAAGCTGGGGAGTTTGGACCGAGTTTGGGCAAGGGCTCCCTAAAGTGGGGGCTGCACCTGACAGCCGCGAACAGGGTCACGAAATACCCTGAAGCATCCTCATCTAGTACCTAGCAGTAGAGTGTAGAGTAGGTCGCCTTTAACCTTTTTTGGGGTAGTATAATCCCCTTGTAATCCCAAAGGTTAACCTTGAATTCCCCCAGGGTAGCTGGACAACTAAGAATATTGGTTTTGTTGCAATCTGTTGCAGCATGTTCCAATTCGACGGCACAGAGCTGTACATTTGTACATTGTCCTTTCCAGCAAGAAGGCGTGGTACCAAGTACCAGCCAGATTGACGTTAAGACACGCGCCAAGCCCCACAGAGTTTCCTTGCAGTGCCTCTTTCTCATTGAATACCGTGGATGAAGACGAACGAATGCCATGAGTAAACTCACGGTGTGTTCGTACTGTCCGCCCGGCCTCTAGACCCTAGATGTTGCAAGCACCCGAACCTCGCTGAGCGGGTTCGCAAAGAGAGACGACGCAGTGCCGCTGCATCAAGAGAGCCCCTTAATTGCTCGTATCGCCAGGCCCACACGCAGCATCAAGAATGACCTGCGCCAAGGTCCCCGAAGCACTCGTAGGTACTAGCAGCCTGCTGTGTCTCATTGATACTCTTTGCCTTTCTGGATCGCAGGGATGTAGACGGTAGTTTGCAGAAGATTCCAGTGGGTGACATCTAGCTTTGCGACTTGTTCAAGCAGTCCTGAGACAGGGCAAGCATATCCCGAGGCCGACTGTAGGAGACTGTGCCATTCCAACTTCCAACCTTACAAGTTGCCCACCATGCTCGAACCTGAGGATGCTGTATCGCTGTAATGTTACCGACATAGGCAGGCTGTCCTGAGCCGAGAACCAAGGTCATACACCACGATGGATCGATATGGGGAAGTGAAGCACATCTACGCGCCTGCTAAGGCCAATCAGTCGGAGGCCAAGGCTAACTGGGAAAGAACCTGTCAGAAAGGCATGCTCGTTGATGGAAAGAGTGTGGATGTCAAGAGCAGTCCACGGTGAAGCTCCTTCGCTCAGGTACGTGAAAGGCATTTGGTGGCCGGACTACGGTGCGAAGCTCAAGCCGAGAGTTTACGGTACGTGTAAGCCTGAAACGCTGCAAGACCTTGCAACAAAACACCGAATCAGACACCGAAAAATGTTCAGCGCTTTTTCGTGTTTCTCTCTCTCTCTCTCTCTCTCTCCCTCTCTAGACTTCAGGCCCGATGACCATCGACTTTTGCGATCAGCATCTGGCTCAGCAGCGCATTGGAAAAGAGCTCTCTTGCGAGCGGCAACACACACACATCTCTCTCTCTCTCTCTCTCTCTCTCTCTCTCTGTGTCTGTCTTTCACTCAAAAGTACTCTCGCAGTTGAAACTGAGAGGGTGAAGATGCATCCTACCAACACCATCTTCGAGAACCAACTGGCCAAGCCCGTGAAGTCCAGACGGGATCTGTGGGCGTCTCGGGCATCCAAGACATGTCGCAGGCGGCCGCACAGTCTTTGCTCACGAGGCTGGCGAATCCCATGGGGGCATCGCGCCGAAGCCTCTGTTCATCTGTGAACACATCACCGGCTTTCTTGAACCCTGAGCAAGACCATGCAACAAAACCTGGAAGGCATGCCCTAAACCCTAAACCCTAACCTCTAAACTATGTGCTGACCTCATGAGGCCAACCTGCGGAGCCGCAGCGCCCTTCTTGGAAGTTAAAGCATGCACACAAGAGCCGAGTCCAGCAAGCTGCTCTCAGGTTCCGCCGGCAGCCCCACACCGAAGCTCTCTGGAGCCGCAGCCCCAACTCTTTTTCTTGCGGCCTTAGAGAGGGCCGGCAGAATCCTGAGAATGCAAACACAGGGACATTCGGATTCAGAGTTGCTCACGTCAGAATACGTAAGAAGCAGAAGCCGCGGAACTGCAGAAGAGCCCATCAAGTCCTAGGGCTCTTGTAAGAAGGCTCCACCATCATCCAGCCCTACAAGAGTCCCTTCCTCAACCGGTGGCTGCGATGTTTCCAGTTGCTTCAAGCTGCTTTGTGGTGGATGTGGCGTCTCTCCTGCTTATACGGACTCGCGGCCTGTAGGGGGGGGAACCGAGCCACGCATCAGGCGGAGGCCGCACCAAGGAGACTTTTGAGGGAGCTTGGGCCTTGACAAGACGCGCTGGACACTTCTTCTGCCTCGTCAGCATCACATTGCCCCAGGCGTGGCATCGCAAGGCTCATGAATCTCACTCTGCCCATGAAGAGGCAGGTCTCCTTCAGCTGCTGGTGCTTGTGGCACTTGTGGCACTTGTGGCAATTCAGTCCGAACAGGCGCAAGCAGAGCAGCTGGCCTTGAGGTTGCGCTGCAGTCCACGTTTTGAATTTGGCATGAGAATCTGCAGCAATCCATCATGTGTTGTTTCATGCTGTTTCGTGTCAGAACTGCTGCAAGCGTGCGCGCAGAACGACAGGAGCATGCGGCAGCAGGAGATGACAGCCACTTTCAGGCAGGACCTGCGACAGAGCAAATGACCATTTCAAGAGTAGCTCCGTCATTAGCTCAGATGCTTCGCTGCGGCATCTACGCTGCATGTGGTAGTTGTGCAATCCGAAATGCTTAACGTGTGTGTATCACCATGTCTGCTGATTCTGATTGTGTCTTTATCCCATAAGACCGTTGATTCTGGTGGCTCTCGTCAGTCCAAAGCGCTCCTTGTCAACGGCATCTTTCAGTCGCTCAATCGGCGGCCACCTGCTCAGTGTTCCCTTATATGAGGTCATCAGGGTTTAGGGTTTTTGGCATCCTGGTTCATGAGTCGAATGTTTACTGGTGGTGATGGTATCGTGAGGGCGGTTTCTATGCTTGGGTTCCTTGTCGAGAGAGTTCCTAGCACGACCCTAAACCCTGAAAATCTTAACCACTCATAGAGGGTGCAGTGTCTATGTTGGGTTGCTAAGAACACCCAAAAAAAGCCAGTGTTACTACCACAACAGCGCGCCAAGGGGGGTCGGAGAGCCCATATCGGGCGCGAGAGAGAGAGAGCAGCGCATGGCAGTGTAGACTATAGTACTGTAGCTATGTTAACATATATTAACCATACTAACATTGCAACGAAAATGCCTGTAATACCCTTACAGTACATGAAAAAACATCTAGAATCCCTGTCAGTACCTAGAACCACGTATAGAAGACCTCGAATACCTAGAACACCCCTTTCTGCCCAGAATACTCTTCAGAGGAATCCTCACAATCTGAATGGTAAGACTCCGCAGCCAAAATGCCGGGTCAATGCTCTTGCCTTAGACATGATGCTTCCTGTGAGTCTAACGCCCCTAAACCCCAAACCCTAAACCCTAAACCCTAAACCCTAAACCCTAAACCCTAAACCATCGCTGCAAAAACCCTAAACCCTAAAGAGTGTAAAGAGCCGGCTTCTTAAGGCCTGAGCCCGGTTGGCCGCGTGGACTTGCCTGTGCTGCCCATCGGCCAGGGCTCCGGGAGCTCCGAGGTGGCGTCAGCTGCATCTTTTTTCCGCGCGTTTTTGGGTGATAGTATAGAAGGGTTTAGGGTTTAGGGTTTAGGGTTTAGGGTAGTAGGATTCATGGTCGAGTTATAGTGGAGGTACATAGTAGAGTTACAGAGTTAGCAACTACCATTTCCACTTTCTGACCTAGCACCCAAACCATAACAACCTAGACCTCAACCTTCAACCAACCCAAGACCAATAGGTAGAACCCTAGGAAATACCCACCTGAAGACCCAAAACCATAACAACCTATGCCTCAACTACCAAAAGACCCACATGATGGAACCACCAAAAGACCCATATGCAACCACATAGAAAAACCCCAACCCGAACTCCATACACCAATAACCCCCATGGAAAAACCCGAAAGTAGTAACCCGAAATCCCTAGCCTTGAAAATGGACATGGTCTTCTCAAATAAAATACCTATAATAGGAATAAGGATACTTGTCGCATAGAATTAGCTGAGCGTCTAAATGGCGTTTTCAGCTTCAACCGCACCCTCACTGGAGCATTTCCTCAAGCATCCACCTCTCAGCCATGAAAGCTGGCCGGGCATTTGCCTTTTTCTTTATGGCACAAAGGGCGCTCTTCCAGTCTTTTCTTGCGGTGCGTCCTGGCTCCTGGTGCGTTCGCACACAGGGTCAGTCACGTTTCCCGGGGCCAAGCAAACGTTCCGGAGATGTTCGGGTTTGCAACAGTTGTGTAGTGAGGAAGAGTGTATTCAGCTCCAGCGGACGTGTGCAGCGTGGTTTGCAAGCAGATTTCGAACCAGTCTCAGCAGTCTCAGTGGGCAGTGAGCATACTTGTGCAGTGCGGTCAAATGGTCAGCTCGTCTGTTTTGGAGACAATCATGCTGGGCAGTGTGACGTCCCAGCATATTTGGGACCAGTTCTGGCAGTCTCAGCAGGCGCTTATCATACTTGTGCAGTGCGGGCAGATGGTCAGCTCGTCTGCTTTGGAAACAACCGTGATGGGCGGTGTGACGTCCCAGCAGATTTGGGACCAGTTTTGGCGGTCTCAGCAGGCGCTTATCATACTTGTGCAGTGCGGGCAGATGGTCAGCTCGTCTGCTTTGGACGGAACCAATTTGGGCAGTGTCACGTCCCAGCAGATTTGGGACCAGTTTTGGCAGTCGCAGCGGGCCATTCGCATACTTGTGCAATACGGTCAGCTGGTCAACTCGTCCGCTTTTCTGATTATCGGTTGGACGTCCCAGCAGATTTAGGACCAGTCTTGGCG